ACTAAATATTCAAAGTGGCTGTAGCAGGTTTGGAAGGCAGTCTTCCATTCGTTCCCAGCCCTGATGCACATGAAGTTGAAGGCTCACCAGAGGTCCAGTTTGTTGACATGTGGCCCCTACACTGTCCAGTAATTCTGGAATCGAGGTCGTGGATACCGGTTCCTGATCATTATTTGGTTTAAGGCTCAGTTGTCAACATAGAGTTGGAAACTGCCATTTTTTGCCCTCAATGAAAAGGACCAGTGCACCAGCTGGTGAGGTTGACTTGAGGATGACCCCTCCAGCCAGGTTCTCCTGGAGGTATTTACTTAGTGCAGCTAGCTCAGGTTCTGACATGGCATAAATCCACCCAAATGGTATTTACACTCCCTGCTGCAATTCTGTGGGGGCAGTCACAGTCCTGATGTAGAGGGAGGGTTTCTGTGATCTTCTTTTCAAACACTTTGGCATAGTCATGATATTTAAGGTGGAGTTCTGAAGTAGGGTTGGTGGGCATCCCTACTTTGGTGATCATCCCTGCCTGAAGCCCCCGAGTGCTGGGGCAATATTGGTTTGTTTCTGACAATACTGCTGACAGAATTTTGAAGGGAAACTGTCCTCCTGTTCTTACCAATGAAGGAGGTGATTATGAAGAGTCTGCCAAGAGAAGCCAAGAATCAGAGGGAAGTGCAGGGATTGAATGATGCTGAATCGAAATATTTCTTAGTGCTCCTGGATAATGGCTTCCAGGTGGACTGTATCCTCAATCACTAGTCCTGAAGACAGATGGGAGCCATCAATATTTTCCATAGGTCCAGAGTGGCTTTGTGTCACAAAGGAATCTGCAGGGCCTGGGTTGTCGCTGCATCTATGAAACTGTCAGCTGCTTCTGAATCAATGAGGGTTCATTAGATGGGAATCCATTGGGGATCTCCAGGGATGCGCAGCCAGATAGGCACCTGCAAGTGGGAAGCCCCTGGATGGAGCTGGGTGCATGTCCCAGTCAGGACTGAAGTGCAGGGGAATTCTTTCTTCACACAGCCCAGGGCAGTCCTTACTGACCCTGAAGTGACTCATTTCCTGGGTTCCTTGGAGCTTGCACAGGACAGGGGTGAGCTGTCAACAAGCCAGCTCCACCTGCACTGGTTCAGCAGATGAAACAGGCACTGGTTAATAGTACGTGGATGGGGGCTGGAGGGACCCTCATTTTCCTCCCTTCATTCCTGTAACTGAGTATCTATGTGGACGGCAAGGTCAGTGAAGGTGTCCAGACGCATGGGCATCTCCATGTGGGCCAGTTCATCTTTGATTTTCTCCTGCAGACCCCACCAGAATTGGTACTGCTGCTCTGCCTTGTTCCACTCCATGGCCACAATGAGATGATGGAAATGGGCCACATAGTAAGCAACAGTTACCCTGCCACTGCCAGAATTTCCTTAGAGCAGCCTTGGCTAAATGTGCACAAGGTGGGTCATTGAAGATCGCTCATATAGATTGGAGGAAGGTGTTCCGATTTGACAAAACTGCTGTTACTATCCAACAAGGGGGAGGCCCAGTCGAACACCTCCCCCATCAGCAGGCAGATTACCAAGCCCATGTTGGCCGGGTCAGAAGTGTACATCTGGGGATGCAACATGAATAGAAAGCAGCACTGGTCCATGAAACCCCAGAATTGCTAGTGACTCCCATCAAATTGCTATGGTAGGGGTTCTGTGGGCCCAGCCTTTCTGTCCCTCCACCCAGTCATTAATTTGAGCTATAATGTTGAATTGAGCCAAATAGGTCTCCCAGAATTTTACCCTGAAAGATACTGAGTTTTTTCATTATTTGAGCTGGGACAACCCCCCTGTCTCTCCCCTTTGGGCCCTGTGGATAACAAACAGGATAGAAAACAGTTGAAAATGTCTGGTCTTACCCAATTCCTCTCACTGGCCCAATTCCTCATCCATGTGGCTGCTTTCCACTGTAGTCAGTGATCCTTTAATTTCCTTCTGGAGCTGAATTTTTAAATCCATAAATCCTTGATCCAGCTCATCTCAATTAGCAAATTCCAGATTAGCTATAGCTTGCTTGGTCTTCATTGTTTTATGGAAAAACTTCTGGTCTATGTCAGTCAGATTGCTGGTCACCTCACCAATCCATTTTACCATTCCAGATTGGGAGTTTTGCAGCTGGAATTCCCAATCTGTCCAGATGCTTTGTAGTTGTTGCTCCAACAGAGTTCTCACCTCCTCCTGCAAGTCATCTTTGAGCTCTTTCTGGTAAACCTCCAGATGCTCCTTTAATCCCTGTTGTGAAGCCTCCAGCCCCTGTTTCAGGTCTTGTTTTAAATCATTTTAGTCCTGTTATAATTCCTGATGACCTTTTTTGATCTCTAGAAGCACCTCCATTATTTGTTCTATCTTGGTTCAGCAGGAATACCAGCTCACAGTCTCACTCCTTGGAAACTGGATCTCACTCCTCACATCAGTGTTACTCATTTCCGACCTGTGCAGCTAGTCAAAGTTTAGGGCCCTGGGAATTTTCCAGCTGGAAGCAGAACTTGATGCAGTCTGGTAGTTTCTTTGATGCAATCTTGTTTATTTATAAACAATGTACAAAATCCTGCTTCTCCAAATGCAGGAGGAACCAAGAACAAAAGGAGTAGTTTCTTATCTCACAGCCTTCAAATCTCTTTAGCCAAAAACTCTCTAGCTTTCTCCAGGGTTGCACTCTGTTCTTCAGCTATTGGTTGGCTTTGTTGTTTTTTGCCTCTGCCTTTCTCTGTGTTCTTATCTGTCCCTAGTTTCTGTGTGTTCTCCCTTCCCATGTGTACACATATGCATGTGCGCACACAAAAAACAATACTCAACAAAAAGCCACTCTGCCTACGCAATCCAAAACTCATCTTTTGGATGTGGCCCCTTAACTGTCCCACAACTATCTTAAGTGAAGGGTATGTTCACACATCAATTTCGATTAGGTTTTAAAACAACCCGTAATAAGGTTTAACCCCACTTATAACAATATGAGCTGTATCTTTCCCCGCTTTGGGTGTCCAGGGGCTGGGAAGCAGGAGAGGAGGCAGTGGGCCTCTATACCGATAGCTCTTGCTTCCTGCATATGCCCCAGAAGAATTTCTAGACATCTTTCATTATACATCATTATAGGGGGTGGATCCTATAATCTTGCCTAAGAAGAGAGAAACCCCATCTCTCCCCAGGGAATCCCTCTCCCACAGTCTCCCGCCATCTGTTACTCCAGTCCAGGGAATGAATTGGACCATTAAGAAGCAGACCCAAGGTGGCTTCTCTTCTTGTTCAAGTCTCTATTTTTGTGTTTGTTTTCTGTGTAATTTAGGAACCTCTTTGATTCATATTTGGATGCCTTTGTTACCCAGTGGATAGTTAAATACCTCCATTGAGCAAGGTAATCATGTGGCATGGAGTACCATGAGCATTGGTCCATGAAGTTCCATTCTCACTCTCCCCTAGCTAGACCAGGTGGGCTGTAGCAGATACCCACTGTTGTTTTTGTATTTTGTTCATCATCACTTGCATCCTTGCCCCACAGGTCTGCCTGGTGGGGTCTGCCTTGTCAACTGTGCAATAGTTTGCTGGAAATGTAAATTCGTTTGCCATAAAATGGCATCCTTTTTCCCATTCTCCTCCTATTTATATACAAATACTTTAGTATAATGTTTGTCTTCATGCGTTATTTCAGAACAGTCCCATCTTCTGCTTTACTTTTTACATTGGATGTTACTTCCCCACACGCCCCCAATTTTCACTGATTTCTAAAAGCTGCTGTTGCTGCATCATACTTGTCTTTCTTCCTGAGATGTTATTTCTGCAAGAGAGTAACATGTTAGTTGTGTTTTAAGAATTTAAAATTTTAATAATATTTAGCAGGGAGTTGAAACCCATTAATATTATAAGTACATACTTAGAACTTCTCTCTCCCTCCTTACTCTATGTTTGTTGTAATGGGACAGTTTCCACATTATAACAGCATGGGCTCCCCCTACTGGGGATTCTTGTATTTACATGCTGAGCCCATTCTCAAAACAAAAAATTAGAAGTATTGAGCTAAGTAACTTCTGAAATCCCCATCAGTTTTCTCTCTCTTCCATTTTGAGTTTCTAATTCTGATATCCACTTTTCCCCAAACCAGTTCAACTCTATACCTTAAATAACTTGGATTCAGCATCTCACATCTTTCCTCTCTGATTAATCTAAGTCCCAAGACAAGACTATACCTGTTATCCAAAAGCTAAGGCCAATTTTTTCATAAATGATCACTAATTTTGTGTGCTTCAGGTGTAGCTAATGAGAACTAAGGGACCACAGAGCCTCAGAAAATCAAGCACAAGATGTCTCAAGTTGGACACATGAAAATGGAGACACCCAAATTAGTGAATGCTTAGGGATATTACTCTGGACACTTCCTCTGAGCACTTCTTTCATCTCCTAAAACAAACTATTCTGAAAAAACACACCTCTGCAGCTCTCACTCAAACCACTTAAATCAAAAAGTTCCTAACTATGTAGTACTATTTCATTTAAACTACTACGAACTCTGTTTTATTCCACACTATTGAAACCATTTCATATACTCATATACTATGTTGAATAAACCATTCTGTATATTGAAACCATTTTTCTGCCCAGAACATTAGGTGATATTTTAATAAAAAAGATAATAAAAGTAAAACTTGTTACTATTTTATTTAAGGTAATGGTAAAATGTACACCAAAAGTGGAATGGAATTTAACATGCATACAGTAGTTTAAATGAGATGGCCTTGCACTGTGTGTGTGCATAGTGTAAATATGGAATACATTATAAGATTATATTGGTATGGGTATGAGATTTCTGCATTACTCATGAGAGATGAATTATCCAAATCACACCGAACAAATATGAATGAAACCTCTATCATAGCACTCCATTCTATATTCTACATGGGTAACACACAGTACAGGAAAAATATTTTAGAAACACTTGACTGACTGACTGACTTTTTCTACTTTTATTGAAAGGGAAGAAGATGTGCACCTGAAGGTACCAAAGAACATCACAAGTTTGAAAGGACAGAAGGAAGCACTTAACTATAACTGTGCCATTGAAACTTTGGGACAGATGAAGCATCTTAACTGGACAACTGTAAAAAATGAACAGGATAGCATAAAAGTGAAGTTTGAACCTAAGACAAATGACAAGTGTTTCATGCAAGAGGAATCTCTCAATTCTAACACATTACTTTTAGGTGTTCAAAACAACTGCAACACAAACAACATTTGGACTTTAAAAAATTCATCAAGTTCTTGTTCTGTAAATCAACGCATGAATACATGTCCGAGCAGAAAAGTTGGACCATTCTGTAACAGAGATCAAAGTCTTTTAAATTTAGCATCAACCTGTCCTTCCCACTGGGGTACTACAGAAAATTGCCAGTCTTATTCAGGCTTACAGCAATTTACAGTGGAGAACTACACTACAGATCCTGTGAAATTACAACGTCCACTGATGTACCCAGAAACTCTATATGACACAGTATTTCCTCTAGATATTCCCATCAAAACTGAATATGATTCTGATTCTGAAAATGTAGCTGATAGCTACATGATGTCACAAAGTCGAGTCTGGCTGGATGAGAATGGTATGGTGAAAAAGCAGCTGATTGGCTACCCTAACATGGTGCACCTTAAAACAGAATCGGACCTCAGTGAGCAACTGTCTCCTTGTCAAAAACCAACGCACTGTGTTTACACACCGCATAATTGGCAATGCATTGTAACAAATCATACCAACAATATGAATATAAACAGACCATGTAAAGGGTTACATAACAAAGAGATGACACAGGTTTGCCCCCAGAACTCTGCATGTTTGGAAAGCATCCATGACTTTCAGCCTACAGACTTCTACAATCAGTTCTATAACCCCAATTCAGTAGAAGAGAAAGAGCAGAATAACCAGATTTTTAAGATGCAATGTGAGTTTAAAAATCCCTGCTTGGTTCACACAATCAAGCGTGAACCCTTGGATTCTCCACCGTTGTCTGATAATGGGCAGGATGGAATAGAGATGATCTTCCCTGAAAATGCATTACCAGGTCCTGTGTCTCATAAAACAACCGAATGTACATTTTTACAATAGATTTTGTAGCATCTGGAATATTTATGATATTGAAAAACAAGAAAAAGTTGTAGATTATCTTCCTGTTGGACTACATGAGTAACTACAATTAAAAACCAAAGGGAAAAGATTTAAAAAAATATTACTCTCTTTGGGATCTTTGGAAATGGAGTGAAGTAAAACCACATATATCATGGTAAAGTGCTAATTCAGACCTCCTTTAGGTGTACCAATTTAACTTTTTCAAGCTTCCCTTCGTATCTGTTGTATATATGAATGTATTATTAATGTATAACTATATCTTCCTCTTGCCTTGTTCTATTGTTCATGGCATGATGTGGGTGAAATCCTGGCCCCACTGTGAAGTCAATGGCAAAACTCCTATTCACTTCACTGAGACCAGCCTTTCAACCTGTGAATCTAAGGTTTATATTTTTAGTTTTAGTTTCTCAGCTATTGCCTTCTCCCCACATTAATTTAATCACCTTCAGGCAAGGGCTTCTCAAACTACAATCGCTTAATTTAAAGGAAGACCATTATAGTGATAGACTCAGGGACCTCAATCTATTTAGCCTGACAAATAGAAGGTTAAAGAGTGATCTGATCACAGTCTATAAGTACGTATACGGGGAACACATATTTAATACTGGACTTTTCGGTCTAACAGACAAAGGCATAACATGATCCAATGGCTAGAAGTCGAAGGAGGACTAATACAGACTGAAAATAAGGCATAAATTTTTAAACAGCGAGAGTAATTTCAAAGGATTGTGGTGGATTCTCCATCATTGGCAATTTGAAATCAAGTTGGGATGTTTTTCTCACAGGAATGCTCTAGGAATTATTTAGGGGAAATTCTATGGCTTGTGTTATACAGGAGGTCAGACTAGATGATCACAATGATCCTGTCTGGTCTTGGAATCTACGAATCTGTTAACTCAAAATCCAGTCACCTTACAAAAACAAGCTACAATTATTTTCAGTTACTATACCTCTTCTTTAGTTACCCTGACAATTTTTATGTTTTACCAATCACATTTCCTATATTAAAAATATTAATCTCTCCCCTGTTGCTGTTTGGAAGATCCACATAAAAAAGAAGAAAATTTGACTAATTATCCATTATACAGGGGAGATGGTGACACACAAATTCATACACTTACAAAAATTGTGTTACGTGTACAATTAATAGGAAAAAAATCAGACAAATGTTTTTAATTTGATGATGTCCCTTTAATTGATCACTATGCTGTCCTCTGACTTCATGACTAGTTCCCATGCCTTCAGGTGATTATGGGAACAATTTTTCAAAAGCACCTAGGAGTATATCTGCATGGCAATAAAAGACCCACTGACCCAGATCAGCTGATCTCGGGCTCATGGAACTTAGGGCTGCAGGGCTATAAAACTGCAGTGTAGATGTTCGGGTTGTAGCCTGCACTCTGAGACCATGCAAGAGAGGTGGGTCTCAGAGCCCAGGCTCTAGCCCAAGCCCAAACATCTACACTGCAATTTTTAGCCCTGCAGCCCAAATCCTGCAAGTCTGAGTCTGCTGACCCAGGTTCTGAAACTAAGTGCAGTGGATTTTTTATTGCAGTGTAGAAATGCCCTAAGTCACTTATGTGCTTGTGAAAATTTTGCCCGAGGTCTCTTTCATGTAGAGGTTGCTGAGTTAATTTACTTGTGCTGAAAATAATATAATGCAATCTACAACTTCTATTTTGTTTTTTATTGTTCGCTTCCTGCACTATTGTTTTTAAATTGCACTATTTCAACTTTAAATCACTTTCCCATATATAAAAGGCATATTATGAAGAAAATGGTTAGATGTTTTTGTGATTTTTATAAAGCTTAGGGTAAACATTTTCTTATTCAAAGTGTTACAACTAATTAGAATGCTTTCATTTCAGTAACTGCTCGTCAGTAATGGTGAGATTGTCATCAGTTATCAATCTGGCCTGAGTAAGGGGCAGCATGTAGTTGCCTTGCTCCAGAAGTACAGCAGGGATGTACTTCTCTGCCCCACCCCCGTTCTCTCATCTGCAATACAGGTAGGCCACACAGGGAAGTAAGGGGCACTTTGTGCCCCCTTATATCCCTGCATTGGCACAGACGGTGACAATCTTGCCTTCATACTCTACTCTTACAATAACGATTTTGGGACTAATTCAGATTTTAGTCTAAAGATGGCGTAATCCATGCCCCCATCTGGGTCTCAGTGTTTATGTTTCCTAAATTTAGGACCCAGTCCTGCAACTTGTTCTGCACAGACCATCCATGTGGACCTCCACTGAAGTTACTGGGGTTCTGTGTGGCCCCTAGGATCTGCTCTTATGGAACAAGTTCCAGGACTGGGACTACAGACTTTTTTTAGACTCCTTTAGACTAACTTACTTAGACTCTCTCCCATTTGCCAACAGGTAACTCACACCCTGCCTAACACATCAACTCTGAATTTGACCCACTGGACCTGATTCTCCACTGCCTTGCACCTTGGGTAGTCATTTAAATCTGTGCAAAGTGGGCATCAATTTTACCAGGTCAGAATGGTAGCATTTTACACTTACTTTGGTTAGATGGAAATGACGACAGAAGGTGCAAGGTGGGTGAGATAATATCTTCTATGGGACCAACTTCTGTTGGTGAGAGAAATGCTTTCAAACTACTCAGAGCTCTTTTTCTTTATGTACTGTAGAACCTCAGAGTTACAAACACCTCAGGAATGGAGGTTGTTCATAACTCTGAACAAAATGTTATGGTTGGTCTTTCAAAAGTTTACAACTGAACATTGACTTAATACAGCTTTGAAACTTTACTATGCAGAAGAAAAATGCTGCTTTTAACCATCTTATTTTAAATGAAACAAGCACAGAAACAGTTTCCTGACCTAGTCAAATCTTTTTTTAAGCTTTCCCCTTTATTTTTTTAGTAGTTTATGTTTAACACAGTATTATGCAGAATTGCTATTTTTTTTTTTTTTTTGTCTTTGCTGTTGCTTGATTGCTGTTCCAAATGAGGTGTGTGATTGACTGGTCAGTATGTAACTCCGGTGTTCATAATGCTGAGGTTCTACTGTAGCTCAAAAGCTTGTCTGTCTCACCAACAGAAATTGGTCCAATGAAAGATATTACCTCACCCACCTTGTCTCTCGAATATCCTGGGACCAACATGGCTACAACTACACTACATACAGAAGGTGGAAGGCAGTAGAGGCTCAAGCCCACTGAGACTGAGTGTAAGGGAATCTAAAATGATATAATTCACATGCTGAGATGCCAGGAGGCAGGAGTGTAGCAAGAAAAACAACTCATGGGAGGGTATATAAATGTGTTAGTTAAAGTAAACCAACATCTTCAGGCTCCTAGGTGTGTAAATTACACCAGTTTACACTCCTTTGTCATCTGAGGGAGTCAGAGTCTAAATTAGACTCCTTTACATTAACTTGCATCACCTTAGAATTTGCTCCACTGGTTTATAGCTTAGCTGTTATCAGATATCTCAAACACAGAAACTGGATATGGTATTTATCAATGGAATTCTTTCTAATGTAAATCTTCACACACATACAACAATCTTAACAAAAGGGTCTATGGAAAGCTTTTATCCTCTCTGTGGACAGGGAGAAGTAAATGTTACAGCTAGTACATGAAGATCAGTTTCTTGTAAGCCACTGGTGTAAAGTACGATTTGCAAATAATAAATATTAACAGAGACAATAAAAAACAAAGTAAGAATCCCTCACTATGGGAGTGTATTTGATGCACAGACATCTTTCCTGCCACAGTTGATAGGAGTTACTCATTCATCAAGCACAGAATAGCCCAAGAGCAGCAGTTCTCAAACTGTGGGTTGGGACCCCAAAGTGGTTTGTGACCTATGTTCCCTCTAAGCTGCATGGCTGTGCAGCTGCCTATTAAGCCCCTCGCAGAGGTTCAGGGTTGCGGCGGGGAGAGATGCCTCTCCCCCAGCCCCACCCCAGAGCCCACACCCGCCACACCCCAACCCTCTGCCCCAGCCTGAACCCCCTCCCACACCTCAAGCCCCTCATCCCCGGCCCCACCCCAGAGCTTTCACCCCTAGCCAGAACCCTCACCCCCTGCACCTAACCCTCTGCCCCAGGCCTGAGCCCACTTCTGCACCCTGAACCTCATCCCCAACCCCACCCCAGAGCCCACACCCTCAGCCAGAGCCCTCATCCTCCCACACCCCAACTCTCTGCCCCAGCCCTGAGCCCCCTCCTGCACCCTGAACTCCTCATCCTCAGCCCCACCCCAGAGTTTGCACCCCCAACCAGAGCCCTCCCACTGAACTCCAACCCTGTGCCCCAGCCCTGAGCCCCCTCCCACACTCCAAACCCCTCAGCCCCACCCCACCACATAAATTTTTTGTTATGTGCACCAATACAAAGGTGATGTGTCACACATCACCTCTGTATTGGTGCACATAACAAAATTCATTCCACACATGGATGTAAAAACATAGAGGGAACACTGGTTGCGACCCCATTTTAATGGGGTTGCCAGGGCTGGCGTTAGACTTGCTGGGGCAGAAGCCAAAGCCCGATCCCCACCACCTGGGGCTGAAGCTGAAGCCTGAGCCCCACCACCCAGGGTTGAAGCCAAAGCCCAAGGGCTTCAGCCCTGGGCAGCAGGTCTCAGGCTTTGGCTTCAGCCCTGTGTGGTGGGGCTCAGGTTATAGGCCCCTCCCCTGGGGCTGAAGCCCTTGGGCTTTGGCCCCTTTGCCTGGGGCTGCAGAGCTCAGGCAGGCTCAGGCTTCATTCCCCCATACTGGGGTCGTGTAATATTTTTTGTTGTCAGAAGGGGGTCGCGGTGCAATGAAGTTTGAGAACCCCTACCCTAGAGGGTGGTTTCTGACATTGTTGCACTACGGGACTGCCACCGCTTTTATAACAGGAATGTTATGGAAGATTAAAATGTCAAGGAGCCAATGAAAGTTTGATTGGTAAACAATGTGAAAGGCTGAGCACTCACAGTTTACCTATTATTAAACAATGCTTTAGACACAGCACTTCTAAACTGTACAGCTTTCTTCCACTGGTCACAGTTTACTTCACTATTTTAGAAGCCATCTTTGGAGAAGCGTTATTTCTAGCAGTGTTTGCATCGCTGTTTCTTAGAGCAGTGGTTTTCAACCTTTCATTTGCAAATCCTAAAAAATTTCAAATGGAGGTCCAGACCCTTTTGGAAATTCAACCTGTGGTCCACAGACCCCCTATCATAGAAGTCTTAGGTTTAAAACTGACTGGATGGAATTCAACTATAAATGTGACGCTGGGCGCTAAATTGTGGGCTTCTATGGTAATGACACTTCCAGGTTTTGACCTGTAGGTGAGGTGTATTCACATACTATTGATCGATCAGAAAAAAGGAATGCCTTTTCTGGGATCTGAAACTTTATTTTCATAGTCACCTTTTGCAGACCCCTTAGACATAGTCTGCAGACCCCCAGATGTCCATGGACCGAAGGTTGAAAACCACTAGCTTAGAGCACTAGGGTGGATGAGGTGTTTGCTTTTAGTAGAGTTTTTTACCTTTGATCTTGGAGTTCTTCATTAATGAGTTGGTATTGAATTGATATTCCCATAACTACTGCTCTAACTTCTGTGTTGGGGAGGCTCCTTTTGTGTTTATTTTTAAGTTGGTCATAAAAGCTGCTTATTATATATGAAATATCTAGACAAATATTTGGCTGACATGAACTCAGAGTATTAAGTTCAGGATAAAGGGAGTTCTCCTCCTCGCCCTACTGTTTACTTGATAATTTCTGTTTTTATCTTTGTCTAGTGATAGCTCCTAAACTTCAATACCCAGAACCTGTCCAGAGGAGCTAAAAGGAAAGGATTTACCTCCTCAATCTCATTTTTAAGTTATCTGAGTCTGGAGGACATACTGAGCCAGAAGGCGCTGGAGATGCCTCCCTTAGGGGGCATGTTTCTTAATCCTCAACCAGGGATGTCTCTTAAGGTTGTTAAAGCTCCCCATTAAGGCCTTGTCTTTTCTGGGGATTTGCCCATTTCAGCCATCTGGGGCCAGCCACCAAAGTAAGTACAGTAGTGCAAATTCCTAATGTAGACAGATGCAGTTACATCAGTGGTTGAAATTGAGGCAGAACCACAGTGTAGACAAGACCATAGATAAAGGCCCTTCACTTTACAATCTCTGGCAACCAAAACAGAAACTAATTTTGAAAGCTTGGAACAAAAGTAGGACTGTGCTCTTGGTAAACTGGTTTTAATAGATCATCAGTTTGAGGACTTGAGTAGTCAAATGGCAAAATGGAAGGATTGGACCCAAGCTCTAATAGAAAAGACTGCCTTCTTGGAACCTGTTTTAAACATGGTAATGAAATGCATGTCTCTCCACTCTAAATACAGATCATTAGACTATATTAGAAATTGAA